AAAAAAAAAATCGTTTTTAAGAATAAAAATTAAGGCAAAATAGTTACTAATACTTGACAATTTTTATTACTATGCATAAAGAATTGGTATAACCAATATACTTTTGCGGGTTTCCAATATTTGAAAAATTAAAGTAATATCTCTATAGTAATAGGCCAATAGATAACTGCAAGACTATTGCGAGATTCTTGCTCACTAATAATGAGTACGCAAGACCAAGACTCGTCTTGGTCTCGCATTTGGGCAATACTACTGGCTGTACAATACTCAGACATTCGAGAATCGTGTACGAACTAACTAAATCAATCTCCTTCCGAAATGGTATTTCTTATTACTTAATTGCAGTCTCATGATAGATATGTGTATCATTACATTAGATGTCACCACTAACGGATTTAAGGGTCCTCAGAATGGAAGATTAATTTTTTCATGGGTCCATTTTTACTTTCACTCACCTTATATGAAATATATAGTGTTTAAAGAATGTATTGTGACTTTTAAAAGTTTCAAATTCTAATTTTTAAAAGAAATACGCGTTTGGTCGAAATAACCAAGCCCGCAATAGGCTGTGTTAATTTTACTTAAAATTAAATTAATAATTAGGGCCATTTTTATCTTAGAATTGTCGTATACGACCGTAAATAGGTGCAACTCTAGATCTAACAAAATGAAATCACAATCGGTACATCTTTGATGAATCGGTGCGTCAAGATTTTTTGCACTAAGCAGTAAGATTTTACTTTTATGTTGGTACTTCATAAAATACTATATTATAACCAATTTCTTAAACTAAGTTTTTCGACACATTAAGTTCGTTTCTTAATTGTTAAGCCATATACGAATATTTTCTCGTAGCCATGAATCTTATCCGATGCCGACTGATTCCAATAATTGGAGTTCTAGTATTAATAATTACAAAGTATGTAATTTCAATGTCCTCGATCTATGTAAAAACCTGATGAAATTGAAAGGTACCATATACTTAAATGTCATGTTGTTTACATACGTTTTCTTGCCCTCTGGTGATGAAAAATAATTATACATTGGTTTAATTTCAGTTCTAATATGTTAGATGATCGAAAGTATTCGTATCTTGATACTTCAGCATTCTAAAATTAATCTTTGTTGTAATGATATTAAGACTCTTATATTTTTCGTTCATTGATCAGCTTGGAGTGAGTTGTAACTTCAATGACACATCTAAAAAAAAATCGGTCTTGTCTTTGAGAAAAAAGATGCGGACAGCTTCCTATGAAGCCTACTTCATTCACTATTTGGAAACTGGATAGTAATGTCAATGTAATTTAGGCAATGTGCCATTGTAGGGGTGCCCAACCCCCCTCTCCCCCCAAGATAGATGGAACCTCATGAACCTCTCCCTCCCATGATATTTTAATACTCTCGTCTTCTTAAACACAATTCAAGCGGAAGTAGAATATAAAAAAAATGTAGGTCATATAAAATTACGCATGCTGTGGTCTATCCCATGTTTTCATCTTGCCTCTGATTTGGAACTTTTCATTCCAAAAAGTCATAACCCCATCAAAAATCCAAAATCCCGCCAAAGTCTGCTCCCCATCAAACAATTTTATGTCACAATTTGCAGCATGAAGCCTCCTTGTGGGAACTCCTTGTCATGTGGTGACATGTTACTTTAGTGCCAAAGCTTTATAAATTTGCTAAAGCAGTCTCAAATAAAGCCACGAATAGCAAACAACTGATTTTTTTTATTTGATTTTTTTATCCTACCTACCTTTCATCTTTTCTGATCGTTTAGAAAGGTTCATTGTTGAAAATAATAAACCAAAATAAATATTCTGATTTATAATTATGAGGATACAAAAAGGATTTATGTCTGTTTCATTTCAATAAAGATTCATTCTCGAAGTTTAATGTACTAAAGAAATTATCGATTTATCAGTTGGATTGGTTGCCAACATTGTCATACACAAAATATGTTAGAAATATGAGGTTGCAAATGCACAAAATAAGTAAAAAGTTTAAATCTTTATAATTTTATTGAATAAGTGAAGTGAACCCTGCTTAATTAGTTGTTTATTTTTGGTCTTACATTTATATTTTTGGAATTTGGATAATATGTAAAAGTTAAATAAACTTTCTGTATATATGATAAATATTTAGTTTTATATTTTCAACGAACCTCTGAACTAACATCAAGATTTTTTAATTAATTATATTATAAATTGTCATTTTACTGATTAAAATTATACCATAAATAAATTTCAAATTTATTTATTAATAAATTAAATTTTAAATAATATTTAAATAATGTTGAAAAATATTTAGCTAACAATTACAATTGATAAACTAAAAGCTTTTGTATGTTTAAAAGCTTGTACAAAAGCAATCCTTATCCAAAACTGTGCAAAATTGTTTGAGTGTATGGAATGTAAGATAAATTAAAAATTTAATCATCAAATGAGAGCTGAGATATGATTAATTAAAAAGGATTCCGGGATTTACTTAAATAAACTTGAGTGTGTGGGCAGTTGTTCATTGTTTATCCTAGATTTAAAAGCTGATAGATTATTTTTTTCATTATCAAGGTAAAGCAGGAAGCCAAAAATAAACATCATCTTAATATATTATACATTATTTATGTGTAATAGCCTAAAGAGTAAATAATAATTTGAATAATTATAATTAGACATATTTATTTTTTTAGATAAAACATGTTTTGTTATAATATTCTATTATTACAATCAAATGAACACTCCTATCATCATTTAATAATATAAAAGCCAAATTTCATAATTATTCAACTATCCCCATGAAAAAAACTTTGACAATCTAGTATAAGCTATAATAATTTATAATGGGATCATCTAGATATATATTTTTCTATTTAAATTTATCAAGACTCATAAAAAGAGTAGTTAATGTACTTTTTCGATTGACGATAGGGAATCTTAATTTAAAATATATGAAACCTTGAAAAATAAAATCAATCTTAATATTTTTTAGATCATCACTATTCAAGCTGTATGCTGTATATCATTATGTTTTAAATGTTAAACATGGTTTATATAATTAATTTTATTATTTTAAATAGCCAACCTCTCAAATGATAGTACCTAAAACAAAATCTTTATCAGTTTTCTTATTACTATATCATTGCCTGGAATATTTTCTTATTTAATGCATGTCTGAGCTATAATTTTTTATTTTTGTTATTAAAAAACATTTAATCATTACTAGTATTTTTTTTATTCTAATAAGATATTCTAATAGCTTTTTTTTCCTATTAGAAAAACAATTTTTCTTATTCTTAGAATTGTTTTCATTGATTTCATTGATAAGCTTCAAACCCCAATGATACACATTCTGTGAAGTTAATAACATAACATAACAGTTTTTGTACAAACTGTATAAACATTTTTGGAAAAAAAATGTTTTAATTAGTTTTATATTTAATTTTTTTCTGACTTTTTTTCAGAGGTTTTCTATTCATGTCATTCATATCAGGGGTGTAAAAACTGTCTTTGAAGGTGAACAAAAAAGAAAGTATAGTGATACTTGTTTAATATGAGGTTGAAAGGATTGTTGAAAAATATATATATTTATAATTATTTTTTTATCTACACTAATAATGCGTCACTACGGGGTGATTGGTGATATTTGTTACAATATCTGTATGAATATAATAATAATTTTAATCTATTTAAATTTTTAAAATTTTTTGGTCTTCATGAATCAAGTGTTCATAAATAAGCATGCCTTTGAGCTGCTGCAATTTTAGAACCATTAATTTTATTCCGAGAATAATGTCTTTTTATTTTTCCTATAAAAGATTTTTTTAATTCCCAACAATCAGGTATGAAATCAATTTTGAATTTGTAGGAATATATATTTTATTCACTTGTCTTAGTAATTATATTTTTAAATTATAAATTTTCTATGATCAAATAAAAAATAAATTCTAAGTCTTAAATAATTAATTAATTTGTGGAATTAATCTTCCCACATATGAACCTTTAACTTGGTAAAAAGATGGTAAAAATAGGTGGTATATTATACTTTTTAGTTATTCTTTTTATATTATAATTTTTATAGTCTTGGTTGATTGAGGAATATTATTAGCTAAAGAATTTGTTTAAATTATAATTTAATTGATTTTACTCAATTAGTGGCTGCTATATTAAGGACTTTAAATTATTACAAAAGTTTATATACCTATTATTATGTGTATGTCATGTGTATATCATGTGCTATATATTATATAGTTATGTGTGTATGCTCTATATAAAATCATTCCATTATTTTATGATCATTATAATAATTTTCTAAAATATTTACTTATCAGTTTTATTATTAATAGTGCTTGATGTAACAAATAACATTTTAATCCATTACTCATGTAAAGAAATGGTTCATTAACAATGCTAAATTTGCATAAAACGTAATATGATTTTATAAGTTCATATTTGTATATTAACACCCATGAATGTATTAATATATTCTGCATTTTATTTTTAAATTTAACTCCTAACTGATATTATTGGGGCTTACAATAATAATAACGTTGTTAAGGTTTCATTTTTAAGTTGATTTTTTTTTAAACCTTTAAATGATCTGTTTATTCATGTACTTTTTTGACTAAAAGTAAGTAAGAACTTGGAAATAAAATTGTCTATGATTTTTAAATTCACAATTTGAAAGAGTATTTCATCTGTAATAATTTTAATTTTAATTTTAAAAAATACTCTATTAATTGTTTCATTGAGAGCTATTTTTTTCATCCATGTTTTGAAATATGAAGAGGAAAAGAGTTGTAAATTGAAGTAATGATTTGTCTCAGTGTTCTGGTCGTCAATATTAAAAAATGTATCAATGCAGAGAAGGAGTCTAGACTCAAAAAGTTCGATAGTGTTATCTATAGTTTACAATGAGGAAGTGACTAAACCAATGTGATGTAGTGGGGATCATCAGATAAAATTATATGTAAGTGAACTCGAAAAACAAATGCTAAAGACGAGTATCTGGAGCTCTCCATAGCGACCTTTAAGAGGGACTTGAGGATAGACTACCCCCGCCAGCTGATTCAGTCCGGTATTGGAGCGAGAGTTACCGGCTTTCACTCAGTCCACGCTCGTCATGACGGAGGGTTCGTTGCAGGAAGCCGGGTCTACCTCGGAACAGGGGTCGAAGGAGGAGGTACGTCTGCCTCAAGAAGAACAAGAGGTAGAGAAACCTACCATCCTAGAGGAATCAACATCAATGAAAGATATCCCAGTGGAACAGAAACTGGAAGAGCTCAAAAAAGAGGAGGTTATCACTTCGGAGGAATCCAAAACGGAAGAGTTCGAGACTAAGGAGGTTGTAGAAGAAACACCAATAGACAGAAAAGAAGAAAAAAACATCGAAGAAAAGGCGGAACTAGAGGCCGTGGAAGTGTTGAAATCTAATGGAAATATACCTAAGATGGAAGTGCACTTGACTGAATCGGATAAGGCAAATAAACCACAAGTTCCTACTCCCGATGGTGATTTACAAGAGGTCCCTCTACATACCCAGGCGGATACGCAGATCACGATAAGTCCAGAAAATCCGGATCCTGAAAATCCTAAGGAAAATGGAAAAGTTGATGCGACTGTACCTACACCTGCAACATCTGAACCGAAAGGTAAGAAAGTGATTAGTTGGATTATTTCCACAAATATAAATATTCCGTAAATTTAAATATTTTTGTTATTTTTTATTAGTGCAACCGCAACTCAAGTATTCACGCTTATGGTACAAACCAATGTCAAAAATATTTACAATTTCATAATATTTTCCTTGGAATACTATCACGTTAAAAAAATATTTATCTATCCAGTTTAATATTTTAGTTTACTCTCTGAAAGAAATTTATAACTGTCAAAGATGATTTATTTGTATAATTAACTATCTTACAGTTTGACGTACAGCGTTGTGATTAATTTATGACTGAATGTAAACATTTCGTTTAGGTTTAATTGGCTTGTTTATAACGTGTAGAACTGAAACATGTCATAATAACATATATTTAAACACGTATTATATATAAGCATTTATTTATTGTCAATTTCGTCTAGTTTACTCACTCATAATTCTGACAATTCTTATTTTTATGCACAAGGTTAGTTATCTTCTATTCAATATCTCTATCTGTTTTCGTATAGAGGTTTATTTATACATATATTTTTACACATTAAGTACTAAAACGAAAATAAAACTATAAGAACAGATGTTTCGGAGGTTCTTCAAAAGTAGCATAAATGGAAATTAAAATCAAAGGTTTCAACCCTCATAATAAATCCTAAAAAAACAAAAAAATAAAAAGACGGTGAAACTATTATAGAAATGTTAAAAAACACACACAGAAAAAAAAACACATAATTTCCAAACATAAATATGTATTTACAGGAAATTGCAAATAATAGAGATTAAAGATGAAAAATAATATATCTGATATAATATGACATAAGAAATGAGTATGGTAAACTAATATACCAATATATTCATGAAATAGTAACTTAAAATATTGAATAATTTCAGTAACATGAGGATTAAAAAATAATAAACTTGATAACAGTTAAAATAATTATAGTGAAAAAGTGATAGTTGGCAATTGTTATTACTAGTGTCGCTATTAATTTTTATTAATCACAGTATTTAACATTCTATCAAGTAGGGTTATCACTTTACTATACGCATTTCAAATGTCAATTATTAAATCAGATATTTTTATTTTTCATATTTAACCTTCATTATTTCCAATTCCCTCTATATCTTTTATAATTTAACTTATTCTATATATTACTTTTATACTTCCACAACGGTTTCACTTCACAGCCCTGATCGAGTCCTATAGTATGGGTTGAAATTAAGGAGTTCAACAAGTAGTTACCACTATTCACTGACGGATCTACGGGGGGGAGGGCTTTCGGGCTAAAGCCTCCCCCAAAATAGTAAAATATTAACATGTTTTACAGAAAAAAATATTAAAAACTATCTCATAAAGTATTCTTGTTCGTGTAATTAAATTTAATAGGACTTCAAGAACCACTTAAACACCATTTCATATAGGTAATTAATTTCTTTCTCTTTTTTTCCAAATTAATTATCGTTATATGTATATGAAAAAAAAATCTTTCGGGCTAAAGTCCCCCCCAAAAAAATTAAATCCTGGATCCGCTAGTGCCACTATTTGATACTATTTTTTGACCTGCATTCGTACCATTTCCGTCTATATTTACCATATGGACAACCAAGATCATATAATATGAAAAAATAAATAAAATACATTGATACATTAAATACATATTATTTAAAAATATTACGGAAAGCACTGATCAAGTAATGTTGATCAGTTCTTGTTCTCTAGATTTATTATTACTATTTTTACAACATGAAAATGTACACATGTTATGTTATGTTATTTAAGTTTTTACTAAAGTGAGCATTCTATCGCGAACTCTGTTATTGAATGGATGAGGTTTTCTTCGACAATCGACGGATTAATGATTAAAATAATTTTTAAATATTTCTGCAAATAATGGTAATAATAAGCTAATATAAAATAACTGATAATTCCTTGCCCATAAAAATGGTATTTAATACTTTTCTATAACGCCATTAATTACGTTGATTTCCATAACCTTTGTAGGTTTAACGAACTTATTTTGTAATTATAAAATATAAATACATATATGAGCCTTTCAGTTGACAGACTGACTAGCTCCAATTTCAACATTTTTTAGTAAAGTAATTTTAGTGATATTTCTAGTTGGAAAATTTATAGTATCTGTAAAGACAGTAAGTAAGTTGGTTCCAGAGTAGGTTATTGCAATGTTGAAATATAAAGTTATAAATTTATACCTTATAAATTTTCCCATTAGGAATATCACTAAAATTAGTAATAAAAAATGTTGAAATTGGAGTGTCATTCTATTAACTGAAAGGCTCATATATTACATTTATTATTTATCCATATGTATTTATTTTTTTATTTGAAAAAATTACTTTATGAAATTAAATTCTGTTTAATTTTGGAATTGATTATACTCTTATTCTAAAATTATAGGTTAATTTCTTGTTATCAATCGTTATACTAGTTATAGTAACAACTGTTATGTTATTTACGGGCTCAGTTACAGAAAAATATCGCTTGAACAAAAACCTCTGACTTTTTCCTGAATCTCCACAGTTGAAACTTTTTATCCTCTTGTTCCATAAGTAATCCAATTCAGAACAATGCTGTACATGGTGAATTATATCCTGTAAGGACGACACGAATTGGTTTATCGACGTGCCGAATCGGGCGGCTCAACTGGTAAACTAATAGATTTGTGTTTTGCTAAGGTAGCATATTTTTATTTTTCGCTTAGTATGCCGTGTAACTGTTAGCAAAGAAGGCTGAGATTCTATTTCCGTTACTATTGAGGACTTTTTCTTACATGAGCTAAGTCTTTAGCTAGGGGATAATTGTGTATCTGAATGTCCGAATTAGTAGTTGATGGGTTATTAAAAGTCGACTTCATAATGGATTGAATAAATCAAACTTTTTTTAAAGATATATGACAGCAGTCACAATTAAATTAATTAAATTATTAATTAATTAATAGCAAAGCAAACTTTCTAAAAGTGTACCATACTGAAATGTTACCAATAACTTTGGTATAGACAAAATATCGTGTTTTGCTATTCATATTTTGATAGCTTCCGTTTACACCAGTATTTAGTGAAATTTTAAAATGTTCAATAAATTAGTGTAAATTAAATGAAACTTTTCTATTCAAAAATCTTGAGAGCAAATATTAACGTTAAAACTAATGTTACGAGATATTTTTTTTTACTTTTTTATTGAGAAATATTACAATCTGTCTCAGTTAAGGACACTTATAATAGAGTTCAGAGAGTACATTCACACCGTATATACAGAAACATAAATAAGTAAAGTAATAACAAAAGAATATATAGAGAAAGAATATAAGGTCAAAATAAAATATTATAAGGTGAGAAAAAAAAAAATATATATATATATATATATATTAAAAAAATATAAACATCTCAGATACAAGCATACCTATATACACTATTTACAATCAGCTAGGGAAACTCCGAACTAATCTTGTTCTCCCCTCATGTGGAACAAAATATTAACAACATTACATATATAATATTAATATATATATATATATATATATATATATATATATATATATATATATATATATATTTAATATATATATTTTGTTGTTAAAAATATTAACAACAAAATATTAATAATTCATGTTATTACCGAACTTATTTTCCGGTAGGTATAAACCTATTTCAAGCATAAATCAAAACGTGACTCTGAGATAATATTCTTCTGCTTCTCTGTTCAGCAAAACCTTTACTTTATTGAGTTTAGTTAAGATTTATTTACAAAAAATTATATCCTACAATCTGACCGAATTTAAAATCTGTTATTAATTTGTTTTAAGTCCTTTTATTGTAATTCTACTTTTACCGCGCGAATAATCGATTATCAAATGTTTGTTGATGTAGATGAAAGTAAATAACAAAAATAATTTTAGAAAAGAGGAATCATATTTTGGTTTATAATTTCAATTTCAACAATGAACTATTTTAATCGACGAAAAAAAGTTAACTCCCTCCTAAAAAAATAAAAGTTTCATGTATCACGCACGATACGTACATTCCAAAAAATACAATGAACATTTTTTTTTCTGTCCTCCGTCCGTGGTTTTCTCCAAGACTACCGGACCGATTATTTTGAGATTTGGAATGAAAGTCGGGGATGACTCGAGGATTGTCCTCCCAATTCTAAATTACCGTCGGCCCTTTCATTTCAATATGGCAACCGAAAAAACCAGTGACATTTCATCGAAACGGAAGCGGTTGTAACGATTAGATTCTTGGCTTAAGTATTCTCATTGAAGCATTAAGACATATATAACGTGTATATATATATATACATATACATACATATCCACATACATACATATTCACAACTTATTTCTCCGAAAAAAGCTGGTAAACATTGTTCAAAGAATGAGAAATTATATTGGCGATTTACTCTACATGTATTCATTTTTTTTTTTTTTTGTATACTTATATAAAAGATAATAAGATTACCTACAAAATAAAAAATCTCCGAAATTGGACTTCTTGATGTAGAGATATAGTATTTTGAACTTTTTCATATATTCTAATGCGAAGTCGATTTATTTTCCATGTAACTCAGAAACATGTTAACGGAAGCAGTCGATATTGTTATCCAAAGAATAATTTTGTTTTATAATTTTTTCAACAAAAAAATTTAAAAAAAGAATATATTTTGTATTGATTTTTTTTTTCAATTGACATGTCACACATATTTGATGTAGAGCTATTTGCAAATGATCAGCCGTCGTGCAATTTACGTCGTTTTTTTTCTACCTCGAGCTCAAAGGTTTATCATTGGAATTTATAAACTAAGACAAGTGTACAGAATGCAATAAGCTGCATGTTAGTTAATAGTAAATTAATATTTATTTTTCGTATTGGGAGGAATTTAATTACCTATCTTATGGTTATGTATATAATATAAATTATATACTTTTTAAGTTATGTATATACAGCTGAAGCTATTTTTCTTTCATAAATTATTTT